TCAGAATGGATAAAAAAACAAAACCCATCTATATGTTGCCTACAAGAAACTCATCTTAAACCCGAAGACACCTCCAGATTTAAAGTGAGGGGGTGGAAAAGAATTTACCATGCTAATGGACATCAGAAAAAAGCAGGAGTGGCAATCCTTATATCAGATCAATTAGATTTTAAGCCAAAGACTATAATAAGAGATGAGGAAGGACACTGTATCATACTCAAAGGAACTGTCCAACAAGAAGATCTAACAATTTTAAATATCTATGCTCCTGACGTGGGAGCAGCCAACTATATAAACCAATTAATAACAAAATCAAAGAAACACATCAACAATAATACAGTAATCGTAGGGGACTTTAACACTCCCCTCACTGAAATGGACAGACCATCCAAGCAAAAGATCAACAAGGAAATCAAGGCCTTAAATGACACACTGGACCAGATGGACATCACAGATATATTCAGAACATTTCATCCCAAAGCAAGAGAATACACATTCTTCTCTAGTGCACATGGAACATTTTCCAGAATAGATCACATTCTCGGTCCTAAATCAGGTCTCAACCGTTATCAAAAGATTGGAATCATTCCCTGCATATTTTCAGACCACAATGCTCTGAAGCTAGAACTCAATCACAAGAGGAAATTTGGAAAGAACCCAAATACATGGAAACTAAACAGCATCCTTCTAAAGAATGAATGGGTCAACCAGGAAATTAAAGAAGAATTGAAAAAATTCATGGAAACAAATGATAATGAAAACACAACGGTTCAGAATCTGTGGGACACAACAAAGGCAGTCCTGAGAGGAAAATATATAGCGGTACAAGCCTTTCTCAAGAAACAAGAAAAGTCTCAGGTACACAACCTAACCCTACACCTAAAGGAGCTGGAGAAAGAACAAGAAAGAAACCCTAGGGACGTCTGGGTGGCTCAGCTGGTTAAGCAGCAGCCTTCGGCTCAGGTCATGATCCCAGCATCCTGGGATTGAGTCCCACATCGGGCTCCTTGCTCATCAGGGAGCCTGCTTCTCCCTCTGCCTCTGCCTGCCTTTCTGTCTGCCTATGCTTGCTCTCTCTCCCTCTCTCTCTCTGACAAATAAATAAATAAAATCTTTAAGAAAAAAAAAAAAAAAAGAAAAAAGAAAGAAACCCTAAACCCAGCAGGAGAAGAGAAATCATAAAGATCAGAGCAGAAATCAATGAAATAGAAACCAAAAAAACAATAGAACAAATCAACGAAACTAGGAGCTGGTTCTTTGAAAGAATTAATAAGATTGATAAACCCCTGGCCAGACTTATCAAAAAGAAAAGAGAAAGGACCCAAATAAATAAAATCATGAATGAAAGAGGAGAGATCACAACTAACACCAAAGAAATACAGACAATTATAAGAACATACTATGAGCAACTCTACGCCAACAAATTTAACAATCTGGAAGAAATGGATGCATTCCTAGAGACATATAAACTACCACAACTGAACCAGGAGGAAATAGAAAGCCTGAACAGACCCATAACCAGTAAGGAGATTGAAACAGTCATCAAAAATCTCCAAACAAACAAAAGCCCAGGGCCAGATGGCTTCCCGGGGGAATTCTACCAAACATTTAAAGAAGAACTAATTCCTATTCTCCTGAAACTGTTCCAAAAAATAGAAATGGAAGGAAAACTTCCAACCTCATTTTATGAGGCCAGCATCACCTTGATCCCAAAACCAGACAAGGATCCTATCAAAAAAGAGAACTACAGACCAATATCCTTGATGAACACAGATGCAAAAATTCTCGCCAAAATACTAGCCAATAGGATTCAACAGTACATTAAAAGGATTATTCACCACGACCAAGTGGGATTTATCCCAGGGCTGCAAGGTTGGTTCAACATCCACAAATCAATCAATGTGATATAACACATTAATAAAAGAAAGAACGAGAATCATATGATACTCTCCATAGATGCTGAAAAAGCATTTGACAAAGTACAGCATCCCTTCCTGATCAAAACTCTTCAAAGTGTAGGGATAGAGGGCACATACCTCAATATTATCAAAGCCATCTATGAAAAACCCACCTCAAATAACATTCTCAATGGAGAAAAACTGAAAGCTTTTCCTCTAAGGTCAGGAACACAGCAGGGATGTCTGTTATCACCACGGCTATTCAACATAGTACTAGAAGTCCTAGCCTCAGCAATCAGACAACAAAAGGAAATTAACGGCATCCAAATCGGCAAAGAAGAAGTCAAACTATCACTCTTCACAGATGATATGATACTATATGTGGAAAACCCAAAAGACTCCACTCCAAAACTGCTAGAACTTGTACAGGAATTCAGTAAAGTGTCAGGATATAAAATCAATGCACAGAAATCAGTTGCATTTCTCTACACCAACAACAAGACAGAAGAAAGAGAAATTAAGGAGTCAATCCCATTTACAATTGCACCCAAAACTGTAAGATACCCAGGAATAAACCTAACCAAAGAGACTAAGAATCTATACACAGAAAACTATAAAGTACTCATGAAAGAAATTGAGGAAGACACAAAGAAATGGCAAAATGTTCCATGCTCCTGGATTGGAAGAATAAATATTGTGAAAATGTCTATGCTACCTAAAGCAATCTACACATTTAATGCAATTCTTATCAAAGTACCATCCATTTTTTTCAAAGAAATGGAACAAATAATCCTAAAATTTATATGGAACCAGAAAAGACCTCGAATAGCCAAAGGAATATTGAAAAAGAAAACCAAAGTTGGTGGCATCACAATCCCAGACTTCAAGCTCTATTACAAAGCTGTCATCATCAAGACAGCATGGTACTGGCACAAAAACAGACACATAGATCAATGGAACAGAATAGAGAGCCCAGAAATAGACCCTCAACTCTATGGTCAACTAATCTTCGACAAAGCAGGAAAGAATGTCCAATGGAAAAAAGACAGCCTCTTCAATAAATGGTGTTGGGAAAATTGGACAGCCACATGCAGAGAAATGCAATTGGATCATTTCCTTACACCACACACGAAAATAGACTCAAAATGGATGAAGGACCTCAATGTGAGAAAGGAATCCATCAAAATCCTTGAGGAGAACACAGGCAGCAACTTCTTCAACCTCAGCCGCAGCAACATCTCCCTAGGAACATTGCCAAAGGCAAGGGAAGCAAGGGCAAAAATGAACTATTGGGATTTTATCAAGATCAAAAGCTTTTGCACAGCAAAGGAAACAGTTAACAAAACCAAAAGACAACTGACAGAATGGGAGAAGATATTTGCAAATGACATATCAGAAAAAGGGCTAGTGTCCAAAATCTATAAAGAATTTAGCAAACTGAACACCCAAAGAACAAATAATCCAATCAAGAAGTGGGCAGAAGACATGAACAGACATTTCTGCAAAGAAGACATCCAGATGGCCAACAGACACATGAAAAAATGCTCCATATCACTCAGCATCAGGGAAATACAAATCAAAACCACAATGCGATATCACCTCACACCAGTCACAATGGCTAAAATTAACAAGTCAGGAAATGACAGATGCTGGCGAGTATGCGGAGAAAGGGGAACCCTCCTACACTGTTGGTGGGAATGCAAGCTGGTGCAACCACTCTGGAAAACAGCATGGAGGTTCCTCAAAATGTTGAAAATAGAACTACCCTATGACCCAGCAATTGCACTACTGGGTATCTACCCTAAAGATACAAACGTAGTAATCCGAAGAGGCATGTGCACCCAAATGTTTATAGCAGCAATGTCTACAATAGCCAAACTATGGAAAGAACCTAGATGTCCATCAACAGACGAATGGATAAAGAAGAAGTGGTATATATACACAATGGAATACTATGCAGCCATCAAAAGAAATGAAATCTTGCCATTTGTGACGACGTGGATGGAGCTAGAGGGTATCATGCTTAGCGAAATAAGTCAATCGGAGAAAGACAACAACTATCCTATGATCTCTCTGATATGAGGGAGAGGAGATGCAACATGGGGGGTTAAGGGGGTAGGAGAAGAGTAAATGAAACAAGATGGGATTGGGAGGGAGACAAACCATAAGTAACTCTTAATCTGACAAAACAAACTGAGGGTTGATGGGGGGAGGGGGGTTGGGAGGGGGGGGGGGGTTATGGACATTGGGGAGGGTATGTGCTATGGTGAGTGCTGTGAAATGTGTAAACCTGGCGATTCACAGACCTGTACCCCTGGGGATAAAAATATATTATATGTTTATAAAAAATAAAATTTAAAAAAAAATTACATATTGAGACATATGGGTAGCTCAGTAGTTTGAGTGTCTGCCTTCAGCTCAGGTCATGATCTCAGGGTCCTGGGATAGAGCCCCGCATAATCTCCCTGCTTGGCAGGGAGTCTGCTTCTCCTTCTCCCTCTGCCTCTCCCTCCTACTTGTGCTCTCTCTCTCTCTCTCTCTCTCAAATAAATAAAATCTTTTTTAAAAGTTACACATCACAATAAATAATTTAAAAACATACTAATTGGGGCACCTGGGTGATACAGGGGGTTAAGCCTCTGCCTTCTGCTCAGGTCATGATCTCAGGGTCCTGAGATCAAGCCCCACATCAGGCTCCCTGCTCAGTGGGAAGTCTGCTTCTTCCTCTCCCTCTCCTGCTCCCCCTGCTTGTGCTCTCTTGTTCACACACACTCTCTCTCTCTCTCTCTCTAATAAATAAATAAAATTTAAAAAAATAAAAAATAAAAACATATTAATCACAAGAGAAATTTTCTGATAAAGATGTAACGGGGTCTACAAAATTTTTTAAGAATTTATTTATTTATTTGACACAGAGAGAGAGCACAAGCAGGCAGAGAGTCAGGCAGAGAAAGAGGGGGAAGCAGGCTCCCCACCGAGCAGAGAGCCCGAAGCGGGGCTCAATCTGATGACCCTGAGACCATGACCTGAGCCAAAGGCAGAGGCCCAACCCACGGAGCCACCCAGGTGCCCCATCTACAGAGTTTTTAAAACAAACCTTACCTATGCAGTTTGGTTCGGGATACCATTTCCCATTGATGCAGGTTGATTGTATGCGTTTGAACTTCGGAAGACAATTGTAATATATTCTGGTACTATGATCATATCCACTCAGATTTGGTCTCATCAGTATTCGTGGATGAAGTGTTGGTTTTCTGCACCCTTTAAGTTGGTTTGTTTCTACAAAAAAGAAAAATATACATGATAAGAATATTGAGCAGAAACTAGCAATTATTTCAATAAAACTTCTGACATATTAACGGCATAATTAAATTATGTTGGATGCCTTCAAGCAATATCACACAAAGCTATTCTTAATTTCATTGCACAGACTATGCTGTTGAAAAAGGGAAAAGGAAACAAAAATCTGTATTCCATTTTTGAATGACAGAAAAACATGATGAAGTCTTTTGGGAAATGGAAGAGCAAGATGGGTTAATCTGGTCCAGGGTCTTGACTCGAGGACAGTCCTTATGAAACGTCATTCAGCCTAATTTTGAAAGGCACAAAAAGGCATACATATGTGATTGTTTTCCACTAAATTATGTTAAATAAATGTTGTCAAAGCATTTCAATAATAAAAAGAGGTGATGCATGAGTAAGTCTGTGGGAAGTACAGTCTTAAGAGAGAAAAATCTGGACGTCTCTTGAGATTCAATTACTCCCAAATTTCAGAAGCTTAGTTAAGACCCTGACTCAATAAGTCAGAGTAAGCTCAAAGGAAGAACACCCTGATACAACAGTCAGACAATAATTTGCAATGGGCCATTTGCTAGTCTAAGTAGATTTTATTGTTACAATTCTTCCCTATTGTCCATACATATATAGATCATTGTGGAACCTTTCCTGAGGGTGTCAAAGGATGGGATAACGAGACATAGACTGCTCTGCTACCTCTCTCCCTTTATGTGTTTTTCTCCAATAATCCCTATTTATAAATTTACGCTATGTGATGCTAGTGATTGGATGTCTGTGTTTTCCTTATATAAAAGCTGTTGGCCACGAACGTATATAATTTACACCTTTTTATAACGGAGTCCAGGCTCTTGGGGATGCAACGTATTCCTTCCCTGCAGGTCATCATGAGTGGGCAGTGACTGGGTATCTGCCACAGCTACAGTTGTCATCCCTAGGAGTGCGGAAACCAGCTGATAATCCAAAAATCTAAGAGATGAGGGAAGAGAGTGGTTTTGGATTTTCTACTTTAGAATCTTGAAGAATAGCAGCAAAGAATCTGCTAGTCTTTAAAGCTTAAAATTAAAGGCTTGACTATATTGGGATTGCTGGACATAGGACAAAGGAGAACAGTATCCACTATTACCCTGAAGTAGAAGTCCCAGACTCTCTTGGTTCACAGAGCCCTTAGCATCTCCGTAGTCTTGCACAGTAACAGAGATCAAAGGAAACCTTCAACAATTCAGTTTCTTAAGTAATTAGGGGCGAAGAATTTAGGGTCTTATATCCTAATTATTTAATAGATGATGGGATTGGCATGTGCTGTTCTAAACATATCTATTGATTTAAAAAATTGTAAACAATCAAATACACAAGTAGGAAATGTATTCTCACCAACACACATAGGAAGTTCAGTCCACATTCCATCAATACAGGTAATTACATTATTTCCAATCATTGTATATGTATCTCTGCATTTCAGCTCCACAGAAACACCATGTTGGAAGGGAAGAATAGAGAACTGGGCATAGCCATTCTCGAGGTGAGGTACAGGGCCACATGCTTTAACTTGTCCTAAGAGAATGTAATAAAAGATATGCTTACTTTTAAAAATATTTAAATCCATGTTATGCTGAGTGAAACAAGTCAATCAGAGAGAGTCAGTTATCATATGGTTTCACTTACTTGTGGAGCATAAGGAATAACATGGAGGACATCAGGAGAAGGAAAGGAGAATTGGGGGAAATCGGATGGGGAGACAAACCATGAGAGAATGTGGACTCTGAGAAACAAACTGATGGTTTTGGAAGGGAGGAGGGTGGCAGGATGGGTGAGCTTGGTGGTGGGTATTAAGGAGGGCACGTATTACATGGAGCACTGGGTGTGGTACATAAATAATGAATCTTGGAAAACTGAAAAAATAAAATTAAAGAAATAAATAAAATATTTTAAATCTTTTTATGTATGTATTTACATATAAGTGAGAAGTTTAAACCATTCTGCTTAAACATTAGCATCTATTTACCAACGCAAGTGGGCGAATTTGTCCATTCTCCATCGATGCACTGTATTTTCGCAGGCCCAGTCAGTAGAAAGTAGGGAGGGCATTCATATTCCACCGTCTCGCCGTGTCCATATACTTCTTTCCTTATCCCCTTTATTTTACCATTGAGGACCTGAGGAGGTTGACCACATGACTGTACTTGCCCTATCATAAAGAAACTATTTAAGTAATGCTTAAAGAATCTTAGGACTCTGACAAAACGTAAAATTACTGTTCTGGTTGACCTAGAACTAAATTATATTTATGCTACATTCCTATTTTTTTTTCAGGTTTTCTTTTTACAGTCTACATAGTGTCCTGAGTATTCTTTTTTCTCAAATGTTGGCTTTTTACTATAAACAATTCTGAACAAATTAAAGAAAAATGGATACATATATTGATCACCTAGATATATATGAATGTTACATTTTGCCCAAATTACTTAATTTTTTGCAAAGTTATTTATTTATTTATTTAAGATTTTACTTATTTATTTGAGAGAGAGAGAGCGTGCCCAAAATGGTGGGGGGGCACAAGTAGGAAGAGGGGCAGAGGGAGAAACAGACTCACCATTGAATGAGGAGCCTGACACTATGCTTGATCCCACTGGGATCATGACCTGAATGGAAGACAGACACTTACCCAAACTGAGCCACCCAGGTGCCCCCAAAATAATTTAAAGTAAATGATAAACATAATAAGATTTTACTTCTAAATTTTTCAGAATGCTTATCTAAGAAATAGGATGTTGACCTGCATATACGAAACACCTTATTGTATTTCTTTAAATTAACAATAATTTTCAATGCCATCTTATATTTTTTCTATATGTAAATATACTGATTGCCCCAACCCCCAATATTTTACAGGTTATTATAACCAGGATATTAATTGTGCCGTAAGGATTTTAAAGTAGTTCAATAATCTGGATATCATATAGAAGTAAATACTTATCATATATATGGTATAATATAAATATAGATAAATAAATATAAAGTATATTATTGCATATGTTTTTATTAATATCTATAAATATATATAAAACAATTTTATCAAATATTTTTTAAAAGTAAGGTCATCTGAAGCAAGTAACAAATCATTGGTTTACTGAATCATTCATATTTTTATTTGATTACTTCTTGATTACTTAATAAAATATAGGAAGGCCCATGCAATATTTTTTAAAGCATAATTTTTTTATTGAGTTTGGGGAAAAATTCCTAACACTTCCCCATTCTGGCACTGATATTTTGATCTGTAAAACTCCATTACATATTTCATAACAGAGGTAGAATGACTCCCTTGTTAAAGGAAACATAACTAATTGATGGCCCAGCACCTCTTCTCCTTCTCAGTTAAAATATCATTACCATGTTTTTACAGTTTGTCAGATTATATATATAAGACCAATAAAATACATAGACATTAATATAAATTGATATAAGTTGTTTCATCAGTTCTAAAATAAATGTTGACCTTTGCATGTTGGAAAATTAGGTGACCATCCAAAGTGATAGCATTGAATTGAATCTGGTCCAACTCTTCTAAGTCCTTCTTCACAGGAAAATTCCAAGACATCTCCAGCTTTGTATATTGCTTTTTTTGGGTAAACATCTATATTTGGTTTTAAAATTGGAAGAAGACATTCTATATCTAAAATTAAATAAAAATAAGTAAGTATGTGTGAAATAATCATTGTAATATTAAATTTAATATATGCTATTAAGTAGCAGGAGGCTTCATACACAGGAGCACTTATAGTCTCACCTTAAAAAAAAAAACCTCTAATTACTTACACCCAACAAATATGTGTAAGCCCCTTTAGAGAAATTAGGGTTGAACAGAAAGGTAAAATTTTGTATGACAATCTCCTCGGTATTGTAATAAATAAGTCCCAAGCAAACACTTAAAAAGTAAATTATTTTATTTATTTATTTAACCATAGAAGTTTAATAACTTTTATTTGTCTATAAAACAGCATATGAACAGTTTTCACAGATCATGTGAAAATCAGTTTTTCCAGTAATAACAATTAAAATGCAACATATTTAATTAAATGACAGGTATGTTTTAAAAAGTTAGTAACTGGAATGGCCCAAACAAGAATTATGTCTAGTACATTTTAAGTAGGAGGGAACATTAAAAAGCAAATAATTCCTAACTTTCCAAGGGGAACTGTATTTAGTATGTGGACTTTTTCAGAAACACATGGCCAAGCTGCCTTCTGGGTGTTCGGAATCTTTCCATTATACCCAACCTCATCTCTAATATTTTTCTAAAAACCAACACAGTATGAATACTTTCCGATTTAAGTAAAAATGGATACCTATATGAATATATAGGTGTATTTTTCTCATTTAATCTGTTATTTGTGGTTCATTTATAAAATTCAATATTGAAATTCACATGTGAAAATATAAATGACAGGGGCATCTGGTGGCTCAATCAATAAAGCATCTGCCTTCGGTTCAGGTCATGATCTCAGGTCCTGGGATGGAGCCCCACATCGGGCTCCCCCCCACCCAGTGAGGAGTCTGCTTCTTCCTCTCTCTCTGCCCCTCCCCCTGCTCATTCTCTCCCTCTCAAATAAATAAAATCTATTTAAAAAAAAAGAAAATATAAATGACATGCAAGACAAATACTCTGAATAAATCAAGCATATATCACAAAAATATGATGAAATATTTCTAACTAAATCTCAGAAATATTATTTAAACTAGCCAGTTTTATGCATTGTTACTGGCAATTTAATAGTTTAATAACAGTTTTTACATATCCCCTTAGAATGTGACTCACTCAGCTTTAGGAAGAGCTGCACACCTGTATCTCTGTATTTCTTTCCAGTAATTTTGCATGACAATTCTTTATTTGTTGTTTATATTCCCTTCCTAATCCAACTGCAAATAAACAAAAGCACTATTGAAAATAATTGATCTTGAAAAAAAAAAAGAAAGAAAAGGATCAATCTTGGCTGATGTAGGATTTTCCAACTGATTTATTCAAGTATGGTTATTACATGGTATTAGAGATAGAACAATGGCCTCCCCAAAATATCCACATCCTAATCCATGAAACATGCAAATATGTTACCTTCCTTGGAAAAACAGACTTTGTAGATACAATTAAGTTAAAGACCTTGAGATGGAGAGATTATTTTAAATTATTTGTATGGGAGTGGACCCAGTATAATCACAAAGGTTCTTACAAAAGGGAGCAGAGGTATCAGAATCAAAGTAGGACATGTGACAACAGAAGCAGAGGTTGAAGCGGTATAAGGAAGAGTGGTGAGTCAAGAAACGCAAAGGGCTTTGAGAAGCTATAAAAGGCAGAGACAGTTTCTTTCCTAGGACCTCCAGAAGGAACTGTAATTCAACATCTTGATTTTAGGACTTTTGACCTCCAGAACTGTAAGATAATAAGTTTGCACTGTTTTAAGCAATTAGGTTTGTGGTAATTTGTTACAGTAGCGGGAGAAAACTAATATATATGGGGGAAAACGTACAGTCATATTTAAGGAAGGGTATGATTTGGCATAACTTGAAGGCATTCTGTGCAGCATTTATGTCAAAGACTGTGCAACACCAAGAATGGGCTGTAATATAAACTATAGACTTTGGGTGATTACGATGTGTCAAACTGTTCATCAATTGTACAAATATGGCTGGTCAGTCAAGTTGATATTGGGACAGACTGTATTGCATGTAGGGGCCAAGGGATACATCTCTGTCCCTCCCCCTCAGTTGTGCCATGAAATCCCAAACTGCTCTAAAACAAACAAACAAACAAACAAACAAGATACAAGTTTCTAACTATAAATTTCTTTCTAAGTTTTATTTATTTGAGAAAGAGAGAGAGCACACACACAGAGGGAAAAGGAGAAGCAGACACCCTGCTGAACAGGGAACCCGACATGGGACTTGATCCCAGGATCCTGAGATCAAGACCTGAGCTGAAGGCAGACGCTTTATTGACTGAGCCATCCAGGTGCCCCAAGTCTCTGACCATAAATTGTGAATTTATAATCAAATGACAAGGAAAGGGATGAAAATCCAGGAGCATAATATCTAAAGTCGCTGTAGCAGGCATAGCAAACTATAACTTTGGTGAGTTTGCTTAGTTTTGAATTATTTGGCAGCATGAATCCAAGGTACCTTTAAAACAGCGTTCACCTTGTTTGTAAATAATAGAATGCATGTGGCATGTAAACAAGATTATTTTGGATGAGCTAAGTTGCTTTTCAAAGATCTGTTATTAAATCATTATTTAACATTGGTCTCTTTTTTTTTTTTTTTAAGATTTTTTATTTATTTGACAGACAGAGATCACAAGTAGGCAGAGAGGCAGGCAGAGAGAGAGAGAGGAGGAAGCAGGCTCCCTGCCGAACAGAGAGCCCGATGTGGGGCTCGATCCCAGGACTCTGGGATCATGACCTGAGCCGAAGGCAGAGGCTTTAACCCACTGAGCCACCCAGGTGCCCCTAACATTGGTCTCTTAAAGCTATTTGGGGACACCTTAAATTTTGATGATTGTTCATTAGGAAACATTTTTCAATAGAGTCTACTAAAAAGAAATACATTCAGAATTGCTGTCATTTCCTAGAAGAAACAGTACTTACCATTGCCTGTGGGCAACATGGGACCAGCCATCGTCACCCCATCCTATGGACCCTGGGGGGCTCCCATCTCTGTTTTATATCCATCATGGCATTCATAGACCCACTCGTCACTGAGGTTAAACCACATGCTCTTACCTTTATTTCTGGCATGTGCTAATACTGACACGTCTTAAGACTTGGAGGCATATTTAAAATCAGGGTCTTATTCCTAATGTTATCCCAAGCACACAACAAGTGGACAAAAACCTTTAATCATTATGTACCAATGCACAAATTATCTTTTAGGAAATATTATTATGAATAATTTACTAAAAATTGATTTTATGTACATTAGAAAATATTATTATTAATCATTTAGTAAAAATTGATTTTATGCACATTTTCCTTATATATAAATGATACTCTTAAATAAATGATACTATTTTTAGATATACTTAAGTATTCTACATAAATATATGTCTATGTATACCTGTAAATATATACATATACATAAATATATATACATATATACATAAATATATACGTCTATGTATATACCTACCATCTATAGTATCCTATATGTTCTCGTAGTGTACAGTAAGTACCTGGTGTATGTGTGTGTGTGTGTGTCCACGCATATGGAAATGTATCCTCCTTACAGGAAACATTAGTTCTCTAGATCAGAGACGAAATAAGTGATGACTCGCAAAGAGCCATTTTGCCAGCTCTCTGAGCTCTAGTCTCTAATCTGTCAGCATCCATGTAATCAGAGGCCGTGGCAGCCTGAGGTGCTCGTGCTCGGGCAGTAGCTTTGCACCATGGGAAAGGAACCTCTGAAGTAAGAGACTTGGAGGTTTCCAGGGCAGCTGGTCCCTTGGTCCGTTCTCCCTGCAAGAGAGAAAGGGAAGGAAAGCTTTGCTCTGGAGCAGAGACATGTTTGTGGGGAGAGAGAGAGGAAGGTTTTTAATTCTCTGAAATGTAAGCAAAGGCTCCAGAAAGATGGCTCTAAGTCTCACTGGAGGCATACATTAGCTCTGACATCCAAGATGTGTTTTCTATTTCATCATTTTCTAGCCAAGTTTGCTAACACTCTTTGTTCAGAAAGCCTGGACCATGCAGAAATGTGAAGACATCCTAGGAACTGTCTCCTAATAATGTGTGGTAATGAACTTGCTGAAGCAGAACATGCATGTAGATGAGTGTAAAAATCAGAAGTTCAGTAAGTTTTTACAAAATAAACACACCTCTATAACTGTCATTCAGTTAAAACAACAGAATGATCTCTCACATGTTCAAAGTTCCTCATGATGTCTCTAGCCACTAACCCTCTCTTTTCCGCAAATACCACAGAATAATTTTGCCTATTGTAAAATTTATGGAATCTTTAAACCTCATTTTCATATTGGTGAATGTCAGCATTGTTTTTGTGGTTAGCTGTAGTTTATCACATTATTTCGTTACTTAAATAGATCAGATTTTAAAGGTTAAGTACACATTTTAAAATCTCATAAAAGGACCAGTCAGTGGTAACATTTTTCTGATAAAATTACTAAAATTGAAAATTTAATTTACTTGCATATTACTTTCCTAAAGACTTGAAGCTGCTTAAATATGAACAGTATGGATGGTTTTCTTTTTAAGACCATAGCATTAAGAATAAAGCCAATACATTTTTTAAGACACGTGATTTACAATGTCGTTAACATTGCCACAAAATCCAAATGTATGTATGTATCATGATTGATTTAATGAAGTGATTAATGATTTTATCAATATTCCCGCAGCTTATCTTGGGGAACAAAAGGTGTGCAAGCTTCAGAAAAAATTTAGAACTCTTGTTCTAGATATTTATTTTTCTCTATTCTTTTCCTGTGTTCCTCCTGTTTTTTCATTTTTTGGAATCTCTGCCATTTTGTTATCCAGTCTTTATCTCTTCCCTTGACACTCTAATTCTTGTTAAAAGCCATTTCTCACTAAATATTTGTCCATAAATCTAACACAGTTGGCAGAAAATAAGAGCTTCCACCACAGGTGGAAACAATTTAGGGATTTAAAGAAAAATGGTTGGGTTTTAATCATCGTTACCTAGAAAGTTTAACATACTCATGTTGTGGATCAGTAACCTTAGCTCAAATGGGTGATCATTTACTCATGGTCACAGAGGTGACTTTCTTCAGAACCTGTGCTAGAATCCAGTTGCCCTGAAATGTCATTGACTTTCTGTGGTGTTCTTCATCCAACACCCAACCTTGGATACACAGAATTTTTCAAGGGCTAATAGAGTCTCACAAAATACACACAGGAGCCAGCTTGTGTGGGTTACCACTGGTCAAACTGAGTTGTCAGGCCGCTACAATACAACTAGCGGTCTGACAACTGCCATTATCCCACAAAATGAAGAGAGATGGTTCTCGAGATGAAGATGACAATGAAATATTTATAGCATAACTAAAGCCTTATAAATTATGAGACCTGTTCAACCACGGGACATTTCAGGTAGGAAGCCGCTAAATGTCTTCTTTTATTATTCTTCTGCAAGTATTGGTCATGTGTAAGCCCCTTGTAATTGAAAGAGATTGTGGTCCAACTGGGAACTGAGTATTTTAATTCAAGTTGCTTTAAAAGGACTCTATTTTCTAGAAGTTTAAATTTAAATAATGAGTTCTGGAATAAATTTTTTTAAAAAGCATATCAGAAGCGGGGAGCCTGGGTGGCTCAGTGGGTTAAAGCCTCTGACTTTGGCTCATGTCATGATCCCAGGGTCCTGGGATTGAGCCCTGCATTGGGCTCCCTGCTCAGCAGGGAGCCTGCTTCTCCCCCCTTCTCTGCCTGCCTCTCTGCCTACTTACAATCTCTGTCTGTCAAATAAATAAATAAATAAAATCTTAAAAAAAAAAGCATATCAGAAGACTTCATTTCCTGATAAGATAGATTAGCTGGTATCAGCATACATTTCTATCAGAAAAAAATGTTAGAAGACTGTACAAAACATCTCTAAAAAACTGGAAATTGCCCAGTGCAAGTCTGTGATAATAAAAAAAGGGGGGGGACACCCAAACCCCAAATAACAGTCTATGACTGTTTTAGCTTTCTACTAGGAGAGTAATTTCCAGACTGTATTTGGGGGGTAGAGGGGGGCAGGGAGAAGCCACAGAGGGTCCAGGGTTCTTCCTGAATTGAGAAGAGCAAGGAAGATCACAGTATGGGAGACCATGGTAGTTAGAATGGCTAGAATTTACAGGGCAGAGTAATAGAGAGGGTATTAGGAGGAGGTAGAGCTAGAGAAGTTTTCTTAAGAGTGTTCTCGTGTCTTTGGTTGAGAACTAAACTCTGCAAGCCTAGTCTGGAACTCCACGAACTGCCTTAAGAATAATGGCCAGCGAGTTGCAAAGATGAAGAATCCCAAGTGTTCACACAGGTCTAGGAGAGGCCATCGTCTTGTACAGTTTCTTAAGGAGTAGTTTTCCAAATTCTAAGCAACAGACAAATAAACATAACGCTCACAGGTACAAAATATTTTAAACAAAGAAACTGAGTGCTTACTGAATTAAGCCTGTAAATTTAATATGCACCCATAAAATAACTGTTTAAAACTGTCTTGGTCATAAGACATTTTAACTAGGATTGGACTTATGGTCACTTAAAAAGTCTCTTTTCAGTTTGACACTCCAGTTTTAAATAAAGTTTATTTCCAACTAATGTGATAATTTTCCTGTAAGCAATAAATGGGTGTTCCTTTAACATAAAGGGACTGCCTTCAAAGCCTTTGTATTATCTAATATTTCTATGTATTGCATGCACTGGATTTGTGTAGACAGGCAAAGTATGATTTTTGTATATCTATCAGACTCAACTGGAACTGAAAAACAAATGCATAAGCATAAAAGCCAGCTATGAAACCTACACATAGCGCCTGACAACAGATATATTTTTTAAAAAAATCACATCACGTGTCAGGATGTGACAGGACAGCATTTTACTTACTGGTGGCACTGCATTTGGGAGGAAAAGACCAGCCGTCTTCCAAACATGAAATGGTGTCACTATTATGAGGAAGGCTGTAGCCAACATCACAGACGATTTGTACACTGTCACCTTCCAGGTGTGTTTTTCCTGAAGATGTAGAATGACCATGTTCCACAGAAGGAAAGAAACACTGCCCTAAGGACCAAAGATTGTTGAATGTACAAGATGGAACTGATTTAAAAACAACAACAACAACAACAACTAAATTTCCTTTTTACAATATTTTAAGAAGAATGGCAAACTTTCAAAACTGAAATCAGGTATGAAAAAATTTCTAAAGAATTCTGATCATGCTACTATAGATATATTACTTCCATGTATGAAATGTAAATTAACATTTCATTCCGTTTAATGGTTTTTACAAAAAAATATTTTGTTTCTATAAACTTCTCGAGGTACAAAATTAGATTTTAATATATCCATTTCTCTCTTACTTCTCATAAATGTTGCTTACAGAACAAGAAAGACCATTACTGTCTCCTTTGTTGGCACGTATTTTCTGCCTCCCATTGTTTTTCTTCTTTTTTCTTTTTTTTTTTTTTTAGATTTTACTTATCTATTTGAGAGAGACAGACCGGGGTGGGGGCGGGGGCAGAGGTGGGAGGAGAGGGCTGAGGGAGAGGGACCAGCGGACTCCTCCATGAGCACAGAGCCCAACACAGGGCTCCATCTCATGACCCTGAGATCATGACCTGAGCCAAAATCAAGCATCAGGTGCTTAACAGACTGAGCATCCCAGGCGCCCTCCCCCCACTGCTTTTTGCTTAATATACCTATTCCCTCCTGAGTCTGCTCTTCACATTCACTGAAGGATTAATAGAGATATCACTATAAGAACAAAAGATGTGGTTTATGGAAAATATGAAAGTGAAAGTATTTACACTCACACGATCTTTGCAATATTCAAAAGAATGGTGAGTTTCAAAATAGAATGTGTATGTAAAAAGATTTGTTTTAAAGGAAAAATATGCCCAGGCTGATACCAAACAAATATTAGGAAATACATATTAATGTCAAATATATAATTCTTCAGTTTTTAAAATTAAAATATGTAAAGCACTTCTAGGTAACACCAGAAATTTCACATATTTATTCTTCATTTGGTTTTCAGAAAAGGCCTCTCAAGAAAGGACTACGTTTCTCATCTTCGCTGGCTAGTCCTGATCCCTGGGACTCCGCTGAGACATCTGGGCCACGTCTAACCACCGAATGGTTCAGCCACATCTGCTGAGCAAGATATTTACTCACCGAGACACCTGGGTATTGGTGACCATCCTTCCTCCGTGCAGATGATGCGAGTCCAAAAGGATCGTGAAGGAGATGCAAAATTATATTCACAAGAATAATAATAAATTTCCCCAACAGTAGCCAGGGAACGTTCCTCCGAGCGCTCTCTACCATATATAATTCCGTGGTCTATTTTGGGGTAATTACAGTAGGAAGATGCTGGGAAAAATGAAACAAAACTGAAGAATTAACCCACATCAGTGAATCATTAAGTCATATTTTAATCACCTCTTTGATTTTTTTTTCTTTCATGCAGCTCAGTTTCCTCTACTCTACATGCCTTCCAGTGTACTCATCATCAAGTACAAAAAAATGATCTCGAATTAAGAGTACAAGAGTATTTGAAAAGCCCATTGTCAATGAACATGAAATTTATGCTTGGAGTCACGTGGAATAAAAATCTTTTCCGCAGTAACTTTGAGAAGAAAATCCCGCACAACGATCTATGAGTGGCAGCAGAGGGGAGCAGGCAGCGGCGGGCTTGGGTCCACACTATGTGCTTCCAGGTAGGGACAGCATCGTGTGGGCTCCCTGGGGCCTTTCCTTTCTCTGTTCTGATTCAGTCTCTGTGCTGTCTGGTTTTTCCTGGTGCCGTGAGGATGAAGAAGTTTTGTTTTCTCCTTATGTGAATAAAGAAAACAACTTCCAAAAATTCAGCTCACCAATTACCTCGGGAAATTCTCTCTTGCTTTTGTCTAGAGGTGACTTTCCATGTGGCAAAAAAGTGATTCCCATGACATTTAACCTGCAAAACCTGAGCTAACTTATCTGTTTACAATTTGACCCATGGTAGTTTTGGAGAACGTGCAGGAAAAAAAGACCCTTATAACACTGAGAGTCGCACCTCCCATAATTCTTTTTTCCAGATATGCCTTGCCCTCCCCTCAAATTACAGCGTTTGATTTCCATCCATTTCTACCTCACTTTGTTATCCAGAATAATATCCCTTCCATTCTCCGATCGTCCCTCTTCTACCTATCCTTCAATGCTCGTTCTGCCACATTTAGCAAAAATATTCATTGTGTGCACAGTGATGGGCTAGCTTTCAACCTTAACCTCTTTTGGCAGACCTCCTTTAGCCAGTCACCCCCTCCAAAAGGAAGAGATGATGACTCCCATCTCTACATTCTGATAAAAGCTCATGACTACATTTCCTATGAAATAGAGCCATACCCTTCTACACACACACACACACACACACACACACACACACACACACACACATCACTCATACATACATGGACACATAGTCTTGCAATCTGTTTACTTATTAACACATTTTGCTTTCCTCCAAGAACACTCGAAGCTATGGTGGGGCACAGAGTTTTCTTTTTTTCTTTCTTTCTTTCTTTTTTTTTTTTTTTTGAGCTTCCTTGCTGCAGGATACAGCCTAATCCAGTGCTCAATCAATATTTCACCATGGCAAGCACACAGGGTTTTTATATAACATGCTGCTTTTGCTCTGGGGCCAGTTTCTCACAGGCCTCTAAGCCTTAGTGCAACACAGACTTGGAGGTCATTTAACATCTACACAACTTCTGGATGGATCTTCACTTGACAGTTCTCCGGGAGATGAGTGTGAAGTTTGAGTATCTTTTTCTGGGTCATGGGTTGGAAAAAGTCTACCTATTATTCTCATCTTTTACACTTATTTTCCTCTGCTTTTTGCCCATTTCGAAATCCTCTCTTAATGTCATTGCTAACAGATGTTTAAAACAATCTATACCAGATACACGGATTAAAAAAAAAAAAAATCAGATACACCTACCCACCCATCCAGACAGTTCTTCAGTGAGATGGTCGTCCAGCCTAACCAGAGAATTTGGTATTTCTGATTGAGATGAAGCAATGCCTATTGTTGTACTTTTATCCCCATCTGCTAATTGCTCTCCTGTGAGTCTATCTCAATGCTAAAAGTAGTATCAAACAAAATGAGTTTCAAGTCCATAGAAAGGAGGTTTTATAACTTTTATGAGGGTGGCTCTTAAAAGTAAAGCATTTGTATTGTTCCTATTTTTCTCTTATGTTAGGATTAAAGAGAAACTTCCCCCAAAGAATGCCCATTAGATGTAAAAATTAGCAAGCAACAAAATAGCAAAATACACCCCTTCTGGAAATCAAATAATAAAAGGCAGGACTGAAACTTCACTTCCACCGTGGTCTAATCAGTCATCCTGGATCTTGTTAGAGGTTTTGTTTGCCATTATTTGGATATGATGATTTTTATCTCAACATGAAATAAGATGAGACAGTTTTTAAAATATTGTAAGACGTGGTTTCTAGTTTTAATAAACAAAGGATGGACAATTTCTTTTCACTTTTGACCTTTACTGAAGAGCTCAGAAAAAGCAAATAACAAACAACAAAAAAAACCTTATTGACATCTCACTGGTTTATTATTCACAAAAATTAGAATATACTGTACTGTTTTACTAAAAGAGATTTCCCTTTGTTAAATGAGAGTTAGATTGAAAAAGGATGTTCCTAGTTTAATAATACTTAAATTAGCAAATCTATGAAAATGCAAATATTTCCAGATTTTCTTGGGATCCTTTTCCTGGCCAGTGGCATTGCAGAGTTTATGGAGAAATGCACTGGTACTGGACCCTTTGGACATCATTATATGTAGCTTTTTCATCCTGTAATTCCTCTCCAAATGTTGTATTTGGTGGCTTTCACACTTGGGAACTTAGAGGACAGAGAAAATAATATCATTCTATTTTCTCTTAATTTCATATTAGAAAACATTTTGATAAGATAAATCATAAGACTTTATTCAAAATGTTCTTACCTCTTTATCCATTTTATATTTTTTAAGATTTTATTCATTTATTTGACAGACAGAGATCACAAGCAAGCAGAGAGGCAGGCAGAGAAAGAGGAGGAAGCAGGCTCCCTGCTGAGCAGAGAGCCTGATGCAGGGGTTCGATCCCAGGACCCTGGGATCATGACCTGAGCTGAAGGCAGAGGCTTTAACCCACTGAGCCACCCAGGCGCCCCTATTTATTCACTTTAAAACATATTTACACACACACACACACACACACACACACACACCCAACATCCACATATATGAGAGAGGAACTAAATATTCAGATCGGCTCTCGTGTTTTCAACTTACCTTGCACCCCAGTAGTAGAAATCCAGAAGATTAGAATGGCATTAATTAAAAGCAGCATGGTAGATTATCCCAAGCACACGTGTTTAGAAATGGCCCAACAGCGGTGGTGTTGCTCCAAGTCCTGCTTTCATTTGGGATGACATGCATGACTTTTGAATTTCAGGGCACTGCCAGGAAGCTGTTGTAATGAAATAGCTTTGGCAAATACCAAAGTTCACAGAGGGTCGTGTGAAAGAAACTAAATAGTGTCTTATTCGTGTTTTCACATCAAGACTCTAAATTCCCCTCTTGATATTTATTTGAGCAGGATAATAGGTTTGCAACTTCCTTGCTGCAGTCACAAAGTTTCTGAATTTGAAGCATTCAGAAATGGACCCCTGAGGAGGAGAAATGAAGCTCTTGGCTCTCTCCTCGATAGCCAGGAGGTCACCTGTTTCAGAAGTCAACCAAGTGTAGCTTGTCGGTCCTCATTCTAAAGCCATGTCCACCTTTAGTTATTATAAATTCCTCTTCAAACTGGCACTAAGAATTAGGTTCCCTCTTAATAGTTATTATAGGTTTGTAGATATTTTTTAAGTGTAGTCAAGAATAATTACGTCAAATAATGCTTCCTGAAATTTTGAACAAAGTATATTTCAAACTCTTCTACGTGGCACTGGCAAGAATGGCTAGGACAGGGTTGTGGTAGATTCCCTCTCCAAAAGACAGAAATAATGCTGGACAAAATTATTTTGAAAAACCAAAACTATTTATAGTTTCTGTAATTTGGCCAAAGAACATACTGTCAAGAAATGCTTATTAAAGGAAATCTCCGTAAGTCTCACGAAAAAAGAGGGGCTGCTCCCTTCCTTCTCTGACCTCTGCCCCACTCTGTGGCTCACGTGGGTAGGCAGGCATTATGACCGGCAGCCCTGCTGTCCTGCTCGAGTAGAATGACATTATAGCAGATCTTGGAAAACATCCACAGCCAATGACTCTGGTGAACACAATAGAGATTACAGTGGGAAACAATGAAGGAAGGCTAAGTCTCTACACGATACTATTGGGGCAAGAAACAAAATGGCAGCCTGGCCGGAAATTTAACAGGGAAATTTGGAGGAAAAAGACCAAAAGGACCCCACTAAGATAATACTTCCTGCTGGTGGTCCAGAAGTCCCTTGACATACAAGAGTTGTGCCCAACCAGAGAAACCAGAGAGGGTCCTGGAAGCTGCTTGTCCCTGGTTGAACATGGAGCAGACTTGCACACTCCCTGAATGTTGAAAGCACTTCCTAAACCACACAGAATTTCAGAAACAAAACATAGGATGTTTAGCGGGTCGATGTGTTTAAGCATGACCTCTGACCCATTATGGGTTGACATAATTAAGTTATGCTGACTCAGGAATGACTCCTAGGAAGTCAGACTAAAAAATAAAAAGAAATAAAACCTGAGCAATGACATCCAATTCCAAGGCCTGATCGACACAAATGTGCACTTTAGGGGCAGAGCTGGGGGAATCTGCACTGCATTGGCAGAGTGGGGCCGGGAGTGCTGACCAGGGCAGTCTTGAATAAGAGATACCTGGGGGCCCCCGGTTGTTGATAAAGATCAAGACCCCATCAGACAGTCAGTCCACATGAGGACCCTGTTGCCAGGTTAAAGCTATGGCCTCAGAAAGACTTCCCAGGGGTGGACTCCTTCTATTCGGAGGACATTGAGGTCATTGGGGTGCCCCTGCCACCCAAGGCTGGGTGGCAGGGTACAGAGTCTGCATGAGCAGGTCTGGCAGTTGAGGCCAAAAGGAGACTTGCAACAGCGCCACCGCAGGCGAGGAGCATCACAGAGAAGAGTTAGTGGGGGTACGGGGTATAGGCCTAATGGACAAGGCCTACCTACATTATGGAATATGCCCCCAGAAGCAGAGCTGGAGGTTTTTCAACTGCCTTACTAGGAAGTGGCCTGCAGTATGGAGACCCAGGGGAGTTCTGATTCCCCCAGAAGGCCTGGAGCCCACAGGCAGCAAGTCTGCATGATGACCGCCTGTCGCCCTTTCACACCTATGGGCTCAGAGCGATTTTCAAAAGGTGGGCTTGCTCCCCACCAGGGGCGATGCCAGCAGTGGAGGCCTAAATTTCACAAGCTCGGAGGGCAAGGTCTGTCCAAAGCCGGCTTTTGGGGTACATACGGTCCATGTGCACGCCTCCGAGGTAAGGGTAGCCAGAGACCTGGAAAAGAGGGCAAACGTCCAGAGATACCCGGTCCCAGGAGCATGCTCTTGGGGTACAAAAAATCTAATTCTAAGCCCCAACCTATGCAAATGTAAATATTCCCTCTGAAGGCCTAGCTAAAGTTGTTCTGATTGCCTTGCCCTGCGTGGGTCGTACAGAGGCAGTGCTTCCTCCAGTAAGAGACGCCCCCTAGTTGCTGGAGAAGCCAAACACCCATCAGGCAGCTGGTCCAAATGGGCCTTGGTGCCTCTAGTTGAAGCTGGAGCCCCAGCATGATTTTAGTAGGGGGTGGGCTCTGTCCTTTTAAAGCTGCCATGTCAGAAAGATTCTCAGGGAAGGGATCCCTCTACCGAGGAGGCTAGGTAGGTGATTGGGGACCGTCCTGAGCTGGAGGGCCCATGGCCACATGATGTGGTGTATATAGCATGTGTGTTGGCTGTGAAGGTCAGGGTAGACAGAAACCTAGAATGGTGACCTTTGGTGGGTCAAAGACATCTCCCTAATTCTAAGCCCTAACCTTCATAAATGCACAAATTCCTTCCAAACGTAAGACTGGAGGAAACTGGATATCTTGCCGGGGTGAGGCTGGGCAGTCTGACTGGAGTATCTTTTAATAAGAGAGACCTGGGAATCTTGATTGCTAGAGAAGTCCAGAACCCCATCAGGCAGGCAGGCAGTCAAACGGGCACTGTTTCGAGTTTGAAGGTGATACCGCAGCAGATTTCGGGGGTGAGATCCCTTCATCCTGCCAGTAATTGTGGACCACCCCAACTCCACATGCCTCAAGGTCCCTGGCTGCCAAGTTCAGCTACTGGGGTACATAGCGCACATATGTTTGCCATGCAGATTTGGAAAGCCAGAGACCTAGAACCTGCAATTTATGGAGAATCCAGATCTCAAGAGCAGTCTCTTGGGGTTCCATGGCATCCTCTTTATTCCGAGCCCTAACCAACCCAAATGCACATGTGAGGACCAAGACAGACCACCCAAAATGTGCCACTTTGCCATATTAATAATTTTGAATTAAAGTTATGTAAGAAATAGTGAAAGAAAGACACCTAGACTGCCTCCCTTTGTCTCCAGAAAGCAGGAAATAAGTCCACCATGTAGGGGCGCCTGGGTGGCTCAGTGGGTTAAAGCCTCTGCCTTCGGCTCAGTTCATAATCCCAGAGTCCTGGGATCAAGCCCCGCGTTGGGCTCTCTGCTCAGCGGGGAGCCTGCTTCCCCCTCTCTCTCTCTGCCTGCTTCTCTGCCTACTTGTGATCTCTGTCTGTCAAATAAATAAATAAAATCTTAAAAAAAAAATCTTCCATGTAAAGAGGAGGCATCTTGCAGCAGGAGGTAAAGAGATATCCCATCACCAGAGATAGGGAACTCAGAGCCAAGGTGGCTATATAAATGAACATTTTATTTTTGCCAATTTACCACCCCTGTCCAAATTCTGTTTTAAATCCCTTATTAAACACGTCTTCTTTGTCCTGTCAACTTGCCACAGATTTATTGCTTCTTTGTCTAAAAGAAAATATAACAGCAGCCTGCATTAGTCATTTGAGTCTCAATTTTAATATCTGGCCTCTGTACACACAAAATTTTGCTTCTTTCTCCTGTTAATCTATCTTACGGCAATTTAATTCTTAGGCCGGCTAGAAGAATGTTGAAGAGTACAGAAATATTTTGCCTCTGCAAAACTTGGTATGATGGGCAGGGTGAACTTCCCTGGCTGAACAGAACTGCAGCTGAGAGGGGATGGGGGGTGGGGGGTATCTAATGTACCTGTAAGTGGTGAGAGTCCTTTTTCTCTAAATTTAGATCAGCTGGAGAAAATATTTGTGGAATCGGTTGCTTGGACTTGGAAAATCTAGTAAATTTGGTAGAATAGTCTTGGTTTGACTAATCATGTCCTTCCTGAGGTGGTCAATTCTTTCCCTTATCTCGTGTCATCTGTCATAAATAGGAATCACTAAGGGGAAAGAATGTCACCCTGGGCCTTACCAGCCTGCTGTTCAAGTCGGGCTCACAGACTGGTGTGTTCACGATTCTTCTCCAACTGGGGTCTGTTTGGACAAACTTTGATGTGGGCTCCCCTTGTAAAAAAACAAAAAAAAACAAAAAAAAAAAACCAGATGAAGTTTTTCCTTTCATCTTGTTCTATGTCCTGAGAGCTTGATCCTGTGACCAGTGAGAACATTCTGTTTGTCTCCACCATTCAGAGAGTACACTTACTTAGATATACCTTGCTGGTCAATTGAATAGACCGGGGTTCTGAAGCAAGAGGTTGTAAGCAGCACTCTGTCCACCAATGCCAAGGGAGTTGTCACAAGAGGTTGCTGCCCAAAGGGGACCTTTGTCATCTTAAACTTTGTTGCTTCTTAGCCCTAGAAAAGTCCCATTCTAGTAGTGCCTGCCTGGTGAAATATCTTAGGGGGTCTGAGACTGGAGACCTCTTATATTTTCATGGGAGACCACAGACACTGTCTTCACTACACCATCCTTTTTGTTACTGGACAAGGGCCCATTGCTCAATGTACATGAAGTCAAACACTGATGCTGGTTTTGTGGTAGAGAAGAAGGGTTTAATTGCAGGGTGCCAAGCAAGAAGATGGGAGAAAATTTCTCAAATCTGCCTCCCCGAAGGGTGGAAATTGGGTGTATTTAAGTATAAGGGATGAGGATGTGAAAGGGTGTGTAGGTTGATTGGAATATGCTGATTGGTTATATGGGAAAAGGGAGGCCTCCTCCTTTCTGGGTATGGGAATGCAGGAATCCTGTCTTTTCATGGGACACATGTTCATTAAAGGTCAGAGTAAGCATGATAATGGGGGAGATCTCAGAGTGTGTCATCACAAAAGTTAATTTCATTCACTCTTGAACCCGTCTGTACAACTGCAAGAATTCTTCCCAGTTTGCGCTAGCCTTAGCTAGTCTTACTGGTGGTCAGTCAACTTCTGCAA